ATCTTTCTGCTTTTTTCCTGACATCTTTGAAAAAACAAATTGCAACATTATGACAATGATTAAATATTACCCAGAGCAATCTGTAATACATCCTTAATGTAACTAGAAAGACTATTAATATTACAGTAATAATATAATTAAAATAAAATCAATAAATCTTCATTCTTTCCATACCCACTAACATTTCTCTTAGTTTCAGATAACGTAAGATAGCCAAACTGAGCCTGGTTGCAAAGTAGTTTAGAGTTTTTGACTGCATCAATAATAATGTGATGGGCTACATATTAAATGTTCTAGCCCAAAAATGTTAGACGAGCTTCTTCCAACTTACCTTCTTCTCCATCCACGACACATGTGTTCGCGCGATGTTGATGGTTACCTAGGATACGAGGATGTTCCGTCCATTCCGTGTGTTCGCGCTACTGAATGACATGTCATGTATAGATCAGTGGTGCACGCAGCGCGCATATATGTTGCCTAGTAACGAACGCAATCTGGCGGAGATACGCGCTGGCGGCAGGAAACTTCACTTTGTTTGCCTGCGCCTCGTATACAACGTTAGGCCCGGTTCACATATCGCGTCTTTTGCGTGCTCAAGTTCGTTTTTTCAAATGTAGGCGCGCGGTATGCGCGCTCATAATGGAAGCGACGCGGTCGCGGTGCGAACGCGCTCGTTTTTCCAGGCGCGTCCGCGCCCGCATCGAGATAAAAAACATCTCAACTTTTCAGAATGCCGCAAGCGCACCGTAGGTCACGTGACACGAACCACCAATCAGCTTCCTCGCCATTTTTGTTACCTCTTCTTAAAATATAATCAACTGGTCCTTGTCCACTCTGCAAATAGGCTTTGAACCTCCATTGTCCAGGCGGAGTTCCTGAATCATCTGGTGAAATTCCCCATGGTTCTTGCGTTTTTGTAGTAGCCTATGGGGCACCCAAACATGCGGCGTTTTTTTTTTTTATTTTCTGAGTAAATAAATCTTGTAACAGAGTTACAGCAAGGGTTTTTCGGTGGTGGAAATCCATTGGCTGAAATTTCCTTCATGTAATGGAGAGCGCAGCTGGTGGTTGCTTAGCAACGACAGACGCCTCCGGAGTGCAACCGCCCTAGCGCTTCTTTGGAAAAAGGAGAACGCGTGCGCCTAGCGTTTTCTACGCGTTTTTAGGCGCGATATGTGAACGGCCCTTAGAAAGCTTTCAGCCAGGACAACTTGGTTGGCATTGCCTTTTCAGCGTGAGAAATACACAGTGTGCCGTGTGAGCGTGTGAACCGGTCGAAAATGAGTGTGTCTCACGGCCAATGCGTGAGACTTGAAAGAACCCTGGTAAACAGCAGCTGGTTCAAGATAATTACTATCAGGAGCGAAAATGTAGTCTTACAGGAGAATGTTACACTAAAAAAAAAACTTCACCCATGTGCTTTGTTTCATTTAGTATTGGAGAAATAAAGGTTTAACAGTACTTGCTGATGTTTTCTGGTGTTTATTTGACTGGGCTGTTTCCAATGCAGCGTCAGACAGAAGATGGTGCCATTCAGAAGTCGCCCCCTAGTGGTCTGACTGCTCAAACTGCACCAGGTGATGCCATTGAGAGTTTTTCCGATATTCCCTGACCTTCAGTTATAGCCAATACCAGTATTGAACAAAGGTGTAACCTTAAAGCTGGAATGAGCGGTTTGTCCATTAGCCATTCACATATCCATCGGTCCCCATTCATCAAACAGTTCTTTGTGTTAGCAAGTCATTCAGCTGAAGGTCCTTCTGTACTGCACTTATTATCAGTGGCTTTCTGAATGCCTGAATTGGATTACCCAACAACAAATTCTATTGTGAAAAATCATTCATATCTGTCTTTAGAATATTCCTCTTCTCCTCTCTTATTATAAAGCAGAGCGATTGATCTTCTTTTTACATTCCCCTTCTTTCACTATTCATTTTGTTCTCTCTATGATTCACTCGTTTCTTGTTTTCACGTTCTCTCTTCATATTGTCTTTCGCTCACAGACAGGAGTTATGGTGGAGCTCACAGGCAGAAGAAGGCTCGTCTGGCTGAGGATCTGAGTGTGAAAATTCAGAGTCGGGCTGGACCACTTGAACTCCTGCAGAGGCATATTCTGCCTCTAGAGAACAGTGAGTCATTGAAAATAACTGAAACTGATGCCTCGCAAAATAGCATAAACTCAAACTAAATATTTTATAGAGTCATAGACTACGCTCACCACACAAACAAACAAACACTCTCTTATATAATACTAACATGTAATTGGGGTAATTTTCTCACAGTTTTTTGTCAAATGATTTTATTGTGACTAATGAGAGTAAGCTTTACCCAGATAGCAAGTCTATTTGATGTGATTTTTACATCTGGAACATGTATTTTTAAGAGTGTTTGCTCATCTGCAATACGTCTTTAGGACGTTTCCTGTCAGATGTCAAATAAACGTTAGAAGATGTCTTTAAGGTGTAATGATTTAGAATGCATGTTAAACTGACATCTTCTAAACGTCTATTTGACATCTGACAGGAAACGTCCTATATTGCAGATGAGCAAACACTTAAAAATACGTGTTCCAGATGTAAATATCACATCAAATACACTTGTGCTATCTGGGTAATAAATAATTACACAGTTATTAGCATCAGCTATTTGTGTTGATGACACTCATAGCATACGTACAGTAAAAACACCAGTCAGATGTTGAACTTAGTACAAAAGTGACAAGATAAAAAACATTAAGGGGGACATTTTAGAGTACAGGCTAAGCAAGAACGTTAATCGGTTAGCGATATGCTAAGCTTGTATGCTAAGTGGTTAGCTTGTATTGCAATATATAGCTTCAGGTTATGTATTATTATACATAACATTAGTGATAATAATTTTAATGGGCATAATAATAGTTCATATGGCATACACATCATAAAATACCATAAAGTCCCATACCGTAAAATACAAATTAAAAGTTTTTTTTCAGCCGATGGAATTCGCTCCTTGGCAGACTTGATACAGCGGGGAGACCAAGTTGTTGCCTTGGCTTTTGGCTTGCTTAGTTAGGGACATTTAATATTCAACAATATTATTGATCTGCCTTACTTCAGGTGGACGATGACGTAATTTTCTTCTAGAAACAAACTTGTATTATTTTCATGTTATCTATATATTTTGTGTTATCATCATGAAGCTGCTTTAATACAATTTGTATTGTAAAAAGTGCTATAGAAATAAAGGTGACTTGTCTTGACTTGATTGATCAAATCAGTTGACTTAGAGACTTCCAATCTTTTATTTTTTTATTTTAGAGTACAAATCACATAAAACAGTGAACAGCATTAAAACATTTTTTTTTTATGAAATGTAATTTGTATTGCTATTGTAAGGCTTACTAAATCTATCCAAATGGCGGTATTTGATTAGAGGTGAAGGTCTCACGTGTGTTTCGTCTTTCCCATGGCAAAAGGATTTTTAATTAAATGCAATACATTTTATCTTATGTATTAACTCGTTTCACCTGACTCCATAAAATGAAAAAGGTTTTCAATGATATCTGTTCATCATTTAATACGCTAATGTTTGACTATTCCTTTTAACATAATGAAAATATAGTCAAAGTCTGTTAGAATAATCAAATATAACAATTTATTATGTCAGGTAAATTTATTATTACAATTCCATAATCAATTTAAAGATAATCAATGCAAACCATTAAATGTTTCTAGAACAAAGAACTTTACCCAACATATTGACTACATGAATGCTGAGCCTTGATGGGCTGATCTGATACAGAAAAAGCAGCCTTGATCTCTCGCTGCATTTTCTTTATATAGCCAGACCTCATTTCATATGTAAACCTGAGCTTCCAGTGGAAACTTACTGTGGTCCCCCTCCCCAGACTTATTGGGGGTAGCAGTTTGACCATTTGCAAGGGACAGTGGAAATTAGCATTCAGACAAAAGCTCAGAAGGTGTTGACTCGAAAACACACCCTTCTGTGTGCAAGATATTTCTATATTCTTGAGAACTTTATTAAAAATTTTTTTTTTAACTTTATTAAAAAACTTTTGATTTTCTTCTTTGGGAATGAGACATTTTTACCAGTCACCCTGAGACCTTTAAATTGATACTAAACAATCCTTAAAGATTACCACATTAACATTAAAACCATATATCTTTTTGTGTTAGTTTAAGAAGTGTTATAGAGAGAGAGAGAGAGAGAGAGAGAGAGAGAGAGAGAGAGAGAGAGAGAGAGAGAGAGAGAGAGAGAGAATGTAGATGAGGTGAGTTTTACACTATTACAGGTGAAGTTTCAATTATTTCAGTTATATTTATACGTTTATAGTGTACCTTGTGTATTATTAATGACAATTACATTTGTGGGAGCCAATAGCCGGCAGTGCTTCGACACACGGCTTTGTTGCGCTTCGGGTGACCCAAGTTCAAGTCCTGACTTGTGGAACTCTCCAATCCCATTCCCTCTCCCTCTTCCTGCCAATTCTCCGTCTATCCTGTCTAAATAAAGAAAATGATAAAAATGGTGTAAACAAAACTTGCAATACCATCTTTTAGTTTCACATTCCCACATGACATTTAACTTATACCCAGAATTGTTGCAGAAAAGCTTCACATATCACCATTTCCTCTGCCTCAGCTGCTTCTTTGCCATCAAATGTATTTGAAGATGACAACTCCTCTTCTGCCTCTGCATCTCCCGAGCAACTCGGGATGCACCAATCTCCTGGCTTCTCATCATCACCTGGGCAAGGATGTGACCAATCACCAAGTGATGCGTCACCTATTGCTACGCCGATCAGCCCAAACAATGTACAGGTATAAGAGGTCTAAAACGCCTACCAATATTAGACGTTTTGCGTTGTATCCTTGTCTTTGGTTTAAAGATGAAGTGTGTAATTTGTGAGAACTGTGGAGCTATCAAAGTATTTCTCTGTTTATTTGAGCATCCCGACCCCCCAAACATTGCAACAGTCTGTGAACCAATGTGGATATATTGGTTGCTATCTGTTTGTGGTGTTTGATGGAAAATCACATATTCTGTGTTTCGTGCGGGATGTGTTTCTGTGTTTCGATTGGTGCAGAAATTACGTAAATGGCTGGAAGGTAGTTGCTCAGATTTTCACCACTATCAATTCTTCTCAAAACAGTGCAGATTGGCATTGCTCCCGGCAACCGAGTGCATCAGCCAACCAATGACCATGACAGTAACGGGGTCAAACTCCATGTCAACAACTGGCAGACCGAAAGGGATGTACATGCCCTCCCAGACACCACCACTGCTGCCAAAGGTACGCATTCACACATAGATTTGAAATAATGATTTGTTATACTCCTCACCCCATTTCACCATTCATTATTTCCCCCATCCATTTGCTCATGTCATTTTTCCAAATTATCGTACTCGCATTTTTTCTCTGTATGCCTCAAGACAGCACAAACTCCAGCTCCATATTCTCATTCCATTCTGGGTGGGTCCTTAACTTCATCCCGCCCTCCTCGGCCACGAAAACCTCGCGATTCCAAACCTAAAATGAGGAAGCTGAAATACCATCAGTACATTCCCCCAGATCAAAGGACTGGGACTGGAAACGGAGCCGGAAATGCTTCACAAAAGAATAACAACAGTCAGGCTCCGGCCACTGATTCCTCTCACTCCCACCTCTTGCAACAACAGCAAGTGTACTTAAAACTACAAATTCTTAACCAGCAACAACAGCTCACTGTGACAAACAGGTAAACTTTCAAATAAATCTCCCTTTAAAAACGCTATGATTTGTACAACTAAAGCCGGGAGCACGCTGCACGATTTTTACAGTCATCTTGAGTAAAAGCCACGGCACACTGGGCAAGAGAATTTTTTTTTAAGTTACACTGTACAATCAAAGCAGTCACTGACCAAATTGGGTGGGTGGAGTGGGGGTTTGAAATCCTCAGACTAGATGGCTATAACCATCCTACACAATGTGAAATCTGTTAACTCCAAGCTCCCAAAATGTGTACACTGGCTCTGACTCAAGGCAACTAGCATCAACTTACCCTAAATGCAAATTAGGGCAAAAGTTTGGATTCAAGTTGTGTAGTGTAAGCCAGCACTATGTGATGTAAGACTCCTGATTTTTACCTTACAAGGAGAAATCGTTTGTGATCCCTATAATTTGTCTCAGAGAACAAAATTATAGCTAGTGTAAAAATCGTACAGTTTAAGAGATTCTACTCTTTGATCTTAATAGTAATCAGAAAACAATAACTTATATACCTATACTATACATCTAAATAATAGTGAGAACCATTCGAAGATTCCTGGAACTACACCTCAAAGTCCCCCTCAGTCTGGAACCCCTTCAACAAACCCCTCTACTCCTGATACAAGTCCCATCCACCAGGCAGAGTTCCTCCCCTCAAACCTTGATGACCTAACGGTAGGAATATCATTGGTTAAGATTACTCACTCTAGATCCAAGTGAGCAGATGTCCAATCCTGCTCTTGGAGGACTACTTCCTGCAGACTTCAGTTCCAATCCTTCTCCAACACACCTAATTATTAATTCTCAAGTAATCATGAGCACCTTGATTACCTGGTTCTTGTGGGGTTTATTAGGGTTGTAGGTAAACTCTGCAGGACAGTGGCCCTCCAGACGTAGGTTTGGACACCCTTATATTATACTCCTTATATACCTTATATTATATTATACTCTATATTATCTGGTCCTCGTAAACTGTTTGTTTGAACAAGTTGTGTATAGAACATTGACTGTATTCCTTCTTTTCAGGTGTCAGTTCTTCGTCAGCAGTTGCGGAAACGTGGACTCCCAGTTTCCGGCACTAAGCCGGCACTACTAGAAAGACTCCGTCCTTTCCAGATGCCGCGTCCCCTGTTAACCCCTGCCCCACTTTGCCAGCTAGGGGCCACACTAGAACCATCCCACCCTGCTGCACTCAACCAAATCCCTTCCAGTGTAAACACCTCCGCCAAGTCTGTTCCAATGTACATCCACCCTTCGGGTTTATCGGAGCAAAGCATAGCTGGTGATACTTACCTCACTTCTCCTTCTTCTGCTGGCTCCAGTCCAACCTTACATACGTCCTCTTCTCCAATTCCCTCTGGCGCCACATGGAGGCCAGGCCAGCCAGTAGATGAACTTAGTGTGGAGCTGGAAATGAGAGAGAGGTTGAGGAGCAGACCCAGAGAAGTAGCGAAAGACTCTCAAGTGAGTATGGATGATTGATATAGGTGGATTTCTTGGACATTGGTGGCATTTCCTAATTTCCGATTTTTTAATATTTTTATTTTTATTTTGGTGAATCTATTCAGTCATAAGTACTTTAAGAATTCAATGTACTATTTCATCCCTTCTGTTTTTGTGTTTTTTTCCAGCTGTGTGGAAGTTCCCTTCATTCGTTCCTGCAACAGGAGCCAGGATGCACCAGAGGGAAACCAGACACAGGCGGACAGGAACTGCTCTTTACGTACTGCACTGGTGAAGGAAAAGTACGTACTCTGAATATTTAGTAAGACAAGCAGTGACACGCTAAGAAAGTTCTGTGACATACTGCCGCACCATTAAAGGGTTAGTTCACCCAAAAATTTTAATTCTGTCAATAATTGCTCACCCTCATGTCGATCTAAACCCATTCAACTTTGGAACACAAATTAAGATATTTTGGTAACACTTTACAATACGGGTGCACTAATATGCATTAATTCATGCTTAACTAATGCACAGATAATCATGAGTTAATGTATAACTCAAGAAGAACTAAACCATTAATTAATGATTACTGCATCAGCAACTAATAAAGAGTCTATATGATTAATAGATTAAGTAATACACAAATTTCTATTAATTCAACGTGCCATTGTGTATTAATTCCTTAATAACATATTTTATTAACTAATAGTGTAAATTAATGTGTTAATTACCACAATTAGTCAAAGCTATGCACTTCAACTTCCAGTTGTCTGCTTTAATTAATCATTAGCTAACGATTTGCAAAGGTATCATTATGTTATGACTTTACTTGTTGGGGCACATCATTATTAACTAGTCATTTAGTAATTGTAGTAATTCGCACATGAATTTGCAGTAACAATGAAGTAGTTAATCATGTATTAATGCATATTAGTGTACCTGTCATATTATCTGGAAGTTGAAATACAAGGCTTTGGCTCATTCTGGTAATTAACATATTAATTGACAACATTAGTTAAAAAAATGAGTTATTATGGAATTAATCCACAATTACATATTTAATTAATAATAATTAATGTATGAACTAATACATTAACCTTACAGACTCTTAATTAGTTGCTAATGTGGTAGTCATTAATGAATAGCTTAAAACCACTCAATGTGAATTCAGTGGTTTAGTCCAAATTTTATGAAGAGACACTTTATATGCTGAACAGATTGAATTTAGGCTTTTATGACATGTAAACATTCATCAACGCACACATCAATTAAAATAAATGGAAGCTCGCATCCTTGCTTGACGTGTGCAAACCAATGTTACGCAGCACTTTTGATCTAAAAATATGAGCTATTAAAATATCTTAATTTGCGTTCCAAAGATGAACGAAAGTTTAATGGGTTTGGAGCGACATTAGGGTGAGTAAATGATGACAGAATTTAAATTTTTCCATGAACTATCCGTTTAAGTTGCATCTTGATGTATTGAGGTGTTTCGTAGTTTAAATAAATGTGAGGAATATTACCCCCCAAAAAACATGCACAAATACATATTTCACTATTGAAATAATTTACAATCTTTGAATTTATTCCTAATATTAGGCAAACTGTTGTCAGCTTTGTGATGTAATTGGTCAAGACTTTGATTTGCCTATGCAAATCACTGCCAGTCCAGCACAGGCATCGCCCCCTGTCCGGAGTTTGGAAGAGGAACTACAGGAGGCTATTCAAAGAGTGCAAGTGAGTTTGTGTGCTGTCCGCTCTCTCACACTTACCTATATTATGCAACTATTGATGTCTTGATTGCTGTTCATCAACAATGAGCACTAAGCATTCAACTTCCTGTCCACTCTTTCTCTCTCCATTTAAGATGGACCCTACTCAGTCCATCGATGACATATTGGACGAGACTATTGGTTGTTCAGGTGAGTAAATTTTAATCAGTGATGGTTGAAACATTTCAGGTTAGAGGAAGCAAAGATCAATGGCAAAAAACAAAAACAAAAAAAAACCTATACATTTTTAAGATTACATTTTAGGTTGGCCGGACATACTGACATGCTTGTGTAACGCCTTATCTTTCAGATAACTCCTCACTCATCACAGACGTCCAATCAGCCACCACCATCCTCTCAGGTTCCTCCCCCACGCCGCAGCCTGACCAATCACAGTTCACCAAGCGCCAAAAAGAAGACAACTTTCTTTCCTCTCCTCTGTGCTCTTCGCTTCTTTTAGAGCTTCCTCCCTCACCTAACAACGCCCCACCCCTCGGTTCAACCCCAACTCTACTTCCTCCTCCCCCCATCTGCACCACTCCACCATCCAGCTCACTGTCCAGGAAAAGAAGGTCAGAGGTTCTTGTTTTTGACCCTGCTGATTGGCTGGAGACCTTGACCTCTGGCCTGCACCCGCTAACACCCCCCACCGCCCCATTTTTAGAGAATGACTTTGGCCTTGACGCAGACCTGAACGTCAACAGGGTCCTCGACCTGATGGTGGAGCAATGGTGAGGAAGGGGCGTAGTGTGTGTCTGCATGTGTGTGTGGCTAATTGGATGCATTGGAAATTAACCACCCTTCAAATCGTGTCCCCTCGAGAGGCGACCCCTCATCCTCTCATTCGTTCCTTCGTTTTTGCATCCATCCATCTCTGTCAACTGATGAGACCAAACAGGTCTGACTGGTGTTGACTGCTAACCTCTACTCCACGCAATGTCGAGAGAAAGAGGGAAATTGAAAAGAGATATGCTTTGGTAACTTGTTCAGAAAGAGCCACATGTGCACATACGCCACACTTTCACAATGACTTGTATTTTTATAAAAGCTTTAAAAATCGAAAAAGAATAAATAATAAAAAAGCGGGTTTCCCGTTGATTTGCCTCTTGCTTCAGCGCCAGACAAACTGTCGGCATGTGGCAACTGTGTGGAGCAGCGGGAGCTTCAAACAATCTGTGTGTATTTACAGGGAAGTGTATGCGCTCCCTGTATGTGTGAGCACGCTTCTCTTGGCTGATTTATCTGTGTGTGTTTGTGTTGGCGCATACACACATGCCAGCATGTTCTGTATCTACAATTTCAATGTGACATAAATGAGGTGTCTAAAGCATCCAAATGCACTTGTTTCTATTTATACTGGTGTACATCATGATCTCCTTTGTCTGAACTAGCGCATCATAGCACTGATGTTAACCCAAAAGCATTGGCTTAACGTATCCTTTTTAAATTTTAGGACAGAATTAATAAAGCTACCTTTAGGCACCAATACAGTGCACAATAATGCACTCTGAGGCCAATATGCACCTTCAGCAAGATTGAAACCACTAAATAGGTTAGGAACTAATGAGAAAATGTGGAAAATCTAAAGGCTTTTGTACTGATTGACCAGCCTGCCCAAACAACACTGTGCAAAGTTAAAGAAGGAATATTTCAAATGCTACTGTTTAATTTTTTTTTAATGGGACCCATTTAACATTGTCTACCATTGTTGTTTACAGACATTTGACCTTTTGACTGCCCGTTGGTTTTATGCATTACTACAACAGGGATACAGCACATTTAGATGTTTAAAGAAAGGGACTCTTTATTCTGTCCCAGTCTTATATGTGAAAGTGTATGTGTAAATAGGACAATGTGTTTGATAATCAAATATATTGCCCTGAGTTCAGTATGCAGACAGGTGCTGGAGAATCATAGCATTTGTGCTGCTGGATATTGTTGGCTCTCAGATGAGTTTTTTGTAATGTAACCCTACAAAACACAAGTATTGTTTCTTTTAAGCCACATGTCTAAATAAATCAACGACCAATCAACAAAAATGAAAATATGTTAAGTGTTTGATCAGATATGTTCACTGATATATTTATTGAGTTATTTATTTAAACTCTGTCAAGTATCCATGTTCAAGTCCTATAGTAAAGTTAAAACAGTCAAATTAAAGTCTTAATTGATTTTCCCACCTGTGTCTGTTTCTTTGTCTTTATGATTTTTGTTACTTTTTTATTTTGTTATACTGAACTGATGAGCTCAGCTTATTAAGTTTCATTATTAAATACATTTGGTAAATTTAGTATACCTTGAATGATATTACTCCAAGCAATCATGGTGATCACTATGCCTTCATTTTCTTTTAAATGTCCCTTAGGCTGCCTCATTGAATCAATTCACCACCCGTAATGTTCCTGTAATGTGGTGTCAGCAATAAATTATTTGTACACCGCTTCAGTCTATAACTGCCTTCACTCCTGCTTGAAATGAGTTGAGCCTCAGTAAAGTTCATTTAATTTCCAACATTTCAAGTCTACATTTGTAGATGGTTAGAACTTAGCAGGAGCTTGATTGCCTTTCTGTCTAGATCAGGGTTATTGTTAAACTGCACTTTAAATCATCAAGTAGAGAAGGCTTTTGAATATGCTGGATGGTAGAAATGAAACATACACATCAGGTAACCCTCATGAGAAGATCTGCTTTCTGACTTGAAATGAACACTTCACACCAATCATATTAATTCACACCAACTGATTAACTATTCAGTGATCCTAATAAATACAGTTTACACAACCATACATTATTCATATTTGCTACCCTTCTCAAAGCATAATTTCAGCTTCTTTGTGCTTTAATTACTTGGATGTGTTTATTAGATCGCTCAAAATGTTTGACACGGGCTGTGAGCTCACTAACACAACGTGACAAATTCAATATACATCTTGATCAAAGAAAATATGTCAAATTAGTGGCAGCTTATACGAGGCATTGGCATAATATAATGATTTATCGTGGGTTAAAAAATGTGTCGTCATTTATTGTTGATTCTGTTGTAATGTGCATTACCCTGCATTAGAGCAGATATATTTTTTATTTATTATAATTTTATAGTTTTAGATCATTATTTTATTACACAGCTTTCTGGAATACTCATATTTATTTGGATAATCGTGGCTTTGAGTGATACAATTTTTCTATTCACTGCCTAATGTCACAGTTCCGTGTATCACTACCTACACTACATGTCCCATCATCCTCTTCGGCTCACACCTGCACTCACTACATCATTATCCACACCTGCCAGTGATCATCATTACCACAGCTGTCTGTCATTGTCTTGTCATTATCTGTGTACTTAAGTCCTTCTTGTCTGTTGTTCTTTGTCCAGTCTTGTGGTTGTGTCTGCAGTAGTCTATGGTATAACCAGTGGTGTAGTCTACGTGATACGCAGGTATACGCCGGAGAGAGAAATAATCAGCTGCCCAGTGCCCAATGACATGGTTTTAAAGCTGTTATCTATTTTTTGGGCCTTCAAAACATCCTAAAATGCACATATGTAGATCAGAGAAATAATATATGGTATATCACAGTATACTCACTACAAAAAACTAGACTACACCACTGGGTATAACCTTGTTGATCATTAAATTGATCTTGGTAATGTTTCATCCTCTTCCTTGTGACAGAGCAACTGTAACAATATCACTCCACTGTCTCTCACTTTTTGTACCAATAGTTCATTGCTGCTATATTGTGGCTCACAAAGATTTCTATATCATAAAAACAGTGGTTTTAACAGTATGGTTTACTTGGACTGACACTGAATCTACACTGTTTTGAAAAAAGAGACATAGCCCACTCAGGCAAATTAAGATTAATAATGTTGTAGTCTACAGGGATTTTTTTTATTTGCTGCATTTCTGTTTTTTGATGCTCAGAGAGATAAAGGGTTTTTAACATGTGAACTGTGTAAAACGATGTTAACCACCAAACAAGAAGCTTAATCCAACATAAATCGAGCATGCATTCATCCGTCTCCACACTTAAGGCCACGCTCAAGCCATTGCCAATCCAGCGATTTAACGCTCTGCTCACGTGAACGGCATGTAATGAGTTTCCTATTTATTAATGACTTGTGCTGTCACGGATAACCTGCTTTCTTACTTGGTGCTGAGTTTTACTCCAACTTCATGGAAATTAACCGTTAAAAAGGTCCATTTCATTGTAAAGCAGCGTTTTTGCATATTCTTTATTCTCCCATCATGTGGATCCATTGGGACGCACAGTAAGTGAAGGTCATGTTAAAGCGGACATAGACTGTGCTGTGTGATGTCTGTGCGATTTCAGCACGGTACCTACTCACTATGAGTAAATCGCATGCGATGCAAAGCCAAAGTTCAGGATGTGCTCACACTATACGGTTCGGTCGCTGCAACGTCACTGCCCACGCTACATGTGAAATATCTGCGATACAGTCTCATGAAAGTGCGTATCTATACCACGATTGTCATTTCCAACATGACATCATGACTTTTGCGTAAACATACACGGCACTTTCGAGTCAAGTGGCGTGTTATCTCTACGCATTTTGCGTTTTGCTATCCGCGTGTATCCGCGTGTATGCGTGTATGTCTATGCCATTAACATTCTGTACACGCCGTCAAATGTCCAGTCATAAATGCCATTAACCCCATACAAAACTCCAAACGCACCCAAAACTCAAAACAAATGCGCAGACAGTTCAATGTCACTACATAATCTTCCCGCCCTGGATCTCCGCGGTGTAAACGCAGTAAGCAAGTGGTCTGGGGCAAAAAAGTTCCTATGAAAAAAGTTATTGGGACAAATAATTTCTGTTAATTGCGGTGGAAACGCGGCTTTAGTCATAAGGAGCGACCAAAATTTCTGACGTGCCAGAAATTCATCCGACCATCCGATTGTCGATCGGGAGAGGTAAATCGCCTCTAGTTTCTCACTGTACACTGCATGACAAACGCTGGACAACAAAGCTGAAAATCAGCCCGACCCGAAAAAGAGTCGCACGAGTCAGAATTCGGCTCAAAATCCGACAGAAATTGCACAGTATATGGCCGCCATTAGTTTGATTGCATACTATTGTGACCCTGATCAACCCCCCTCTGTCACGCAAACAGGTAAGATCCAAGTGCGTTTATTGGGTAATCCATAATCATAAATCCAGGCATAAATCAACAAGGACTCTGTGACAAGGACTGAACAGACAGTGTATAAATACACAGATACTAACAAGGTGAGGGGAAACAACTGCTTGCGATGATCAATGATGAGGCGGACAAGGATGATGGGAAATGTAGTAAATAAGTGTGAGACACCGTGGAGAAGGAGGACCTCTAGTGGTTACCCAGGGATACACAAACCAGACACTGTGACATTACCCCACTCGCGGCTACCAAACAAAAAACAAAATAAACAACAAGAGTCGAGGAGGGAGGTGGAACGGTGGAGGATCAGGGGAGGGATAGGGGGGCATGGAGGGGAACAGGAACAGGGAGTTTAACAGATGGCCTGAGTGAAACGGGTCGTGCCGGCTGCCAGGGTGAAGCAGGTCCTTCAGGGTGGCCATGGCAGAGACGACCAGGGTGGAGCAGGCGACCGGGACGGGGCAGACCCTTCGGGCGGCCATGGCGGAGGTGACCAGGGTGGAGACAACCTTTTGGGTGGCCATGGTGCAGGAACAGACACCGGCTCAGAAACAGGAACAGACCTGAGAGGGAGAGCAAACAGCTTGGGCGAGGCCGGCAGGGCAAGTAGCTTGAGCTGGGCCAGCAGGGCAAGCAGCTTGGGCAGAGCGGGTTGTTTCGGGGACGGCCTCCGAGACAGACGACAGGGGGGTGTTTGGGGAAAGCCTCTGGGATGACAGTGGCCTGTTCGGGGATGAGCTCCGGGACGTGAATGGTCTCTGGATTAGCAGACATGATGACCTCTGTTTTGAAGGACGGTAGACATCTGTTTCTTCCTCCTCCTCCGCCTATAATGGCAAGACGGTGGCATCGAGCCTACCGCCTCTGGGGAAGTTACAATCTCCGGCAAGGGCATAGTGGCCATCTTGTCACGAGCGCACTTGTTCAGGAAGTAAAGTATCCTGCGCATGCATTTTAGCTTATTGTGATGTATTCAGTTAAATAAAACACTTGTAAGGGATGATAGTGTTAATTATTTACCTTGTATTCGTGCATTGCGTGTGGAATCAGAACAACAGGTCATTTGGAAATCCATTGTCTCCTCAAAAGAGTCAGTTTGCAAGCAGCAGAAGTCCACCTTATGCGACACATGCACAGTAAACCTGTATTGTTCACTCAACTACTCATAATTGCAGCAAATTATTAAAAAAACACAATATTTACCCACGTTCTGCTTTCTATCATGCGCCATGCACGTTTGCGATGACGTAAGATGCACGCAAATGCACCACGGTTCGATGCTGCCAATGACCAATGCTGCGGAGGGCGCCGGGAACAAACGTGCTCTGGCTCGGACCGCAGCAAACGAGCCCAGTGTTAAAGCCCCCTTAGTGAGACTGATCCAGTAAACATAAAAATGTGAGTCAATCAATCAATCAATCAATCAATCAATCAATCAATCAATCAATCAACCTATCAATCAATCAACCAACCTATCAATCAATGCCTGGTTCTTTGTCTGAATGTGTGTGTGTGTGTGTGTGTGTGTGTGTGTGCATGAGAGAGAGAGAGAGAGAGAGACAGAGAGAGAGAGAGAGAGAGAGAGAGAGACCAAGAGACCATGAATTAGAGTACCTCATGATCCATGTTGGCTGTGCCTCCCTGAGCTTTTATTGTTCCCTTTAGATTCTCTTACCTTGACCAATCATAATTTTTACAACTTGAGTCGTATTCACTCCATTACACACTGAAGACAGACCACACATCAGTACTATGTGAGAGCCCTGGGAACTGAAGACTTTTATATATTACTCAGTGGTCTGGTGTAATTTTGATGATATTTTTTGTTTCAACTTTGCCTACGTTGCCTCTAGTATCTTAGAGTATTTTGAAATAAAGAGGATATACAGGGGTCTGTAAATGTCTGTAACAATTGGGGTCCAATGATTTTGGTAATATAAAGAAAGTTTCCCTATTGATTTTCCCCAGGATCTTGTCCATTTTTATATGTGTTTTTTTTTCTTACTTCATT